CCCGACGAACACTATTTGCGACAATTTCTCTGAAATGATCCTAAGATTTAAAAAAAAAAGACTTTCTGCTGCTGCTAAAATTTCTTCGGTTAAATAACGTAAACGGTACGGAGCAAGATTCAATCTAGTGTCGAACAAACAGTAAAAAAACTTTTAAAGTTATAAAGCTTAATCTATCTACTGCTAAGTCGTTCAGTCAAACTGCAAAAATCTTTGATTACGACGATCATATTCGCGTAAGTAACGTGATGAATTGCTTCAACAATATTCATTCGTTATGAAATGAATTGACTGAAATTCTTAAGCAATTCCAATCGTATGCAATTGGAAGTTATTCGTTTGGAAGTTGTTTGTTAAGCAAGACTGGGAATGTATTTATCTATTTATTTACTGATTCAGAACATTTGTTTGTTCCTTCATATTCGCTAAGACGCACAAATCATTTTTCGTCATTCCATTGCTCTTCATTATTGTTTATCATTACAATAATTAGAGCAACAATTGCAGGTTTTCCACACCCAGACACATAGCCAAACATTGCACAGAGCATCGTTACGTCGCCCACCCCTTACTGTTTATCGTTGGAGAACAGTGAAGGAATTTCTGAGTTTTACGATTTCTTGAGCAATTTTTAGAATTTTTTCATAATCAGCGTAACCAGAACAGTTAATTTCATATCAGTGATCAGCTCGAATCGAGGAAATGGGTGAATATAATATTAAAGAAAAATAGCAACTGGCTGAGAATGCCAGCTAGTGTTATAAGAGAGCCTTGTTCATTTGTCACATCAAGCGCAAGGGAATTGCAGGTGTTTTCATCGAGAAACATCATATAATAAGTGAAACCACTTACACGTATTCCTCTTTCAAGGAGGGTGCATGCACTCTTGGTAGCCTGAACCATTGGAAGAACGGACTGAGTCGTTCTTCGATCACATTCACTCTTTCGACAATCTCATGATAGACCTCTTGGAAACATAGCACCGAATGACACTGAATCGGAAACGATCAATTGAGCAGTGATCAATATTGAAACAGTGTGAAAATTGTGCAAACCACTCTCTTGATTACCACTGAGTTTATTCTCATTTACTCCCATTCGGAAAATGCACTTCTGAGCAATTCTTTCAAGAAAACAAATCATTGAAATCGATTGTTATTGAAATTGAATTGAAATTCTTTCTGATTAGAACGAAATCGGTCGCAAATTGCACTCGAATTCAAAATATCTTCAAATGAAGCATTTATCATACGATACAAATTGGAATACTTTGTTCCAAACTTGTTGCTCCACTTGTTTACTCCTCGTAAACGAAAACGAATTGCATTGTGTGTCATCTGTTATGGTCTACTTGATAACTTATTGAAGAGTTTCAAATCAGATTACAAATGAACAAAAAAGTGACTAACCAAAAAGAAGGCAATGAAGAAGCCGATCAGCCAACCGACCCAAATATCACGCCAATGATTCTTGTAACCATTGATTCGTGAAAATGAATCCACTAACGTTAAGCCCATAAAGCCAAAAATCAGAAATGGTCTCAACAAGGGTGCTCCACGTAGTGTGATCATATAGTAGATGTAAAGCTGAAATTGATTTCGATTTCGCATATTTCCTCGACTAAAAACTTCGTCGAAAATGAATCCTACAAGTTTTTCGGAAGCAGCAGATCAGAGTGTGCGGAAGACCTATCTAGAGGGATTATCGCTAAAAATCACACAATCTCGACTGATAGAAATCAATTGCTGGTAATACTGTGTGGGAAAATATTATGATTATATCACTCTTATTGTCCATCAAAAAATTTTTATTTTGACTGCAAGATGCATCTTCAACACGATCATCAGTATTATGAAGTTCGACTCTGCTTCCAGCCTAATTGGTTGAAGGCAAATTTAGCAAATCGTATGATTCATAGTAAATTGCATAACGTCGAATGCAACTGGCGCTCGTTCATATACATTGTATCACTAAGATCGATCTATACATTACTGATGCAATATAAGGGTTACCATCTTCAAGCTAATGGTACTCTCAGGTTTGCCCAGTAACATGTGAATTTCTCAGTACCATTCGATTCCTCAAAACCTCTAGATTCACAATACCATATATGTTGTCGAGCGATTTTGCTTACTTGAGGAGATATAGCTAATTTCTTAAAGGCATCTCAACTAACGCAGTGGCGCTCGTTCATATATATTGTATCACTATAGATCAATGTGTCCATTCCTACAGCTCTATAGACGCTAACATTTTCAAGCTATCGGTGCTCTCAGGTTTGCCCAATAACATATGAATTTTTCTATACCATTCGATTCCTCAGAACTTCTAGATTCAGAAAAACATATATGCTGCTGGGCAATTTTGTTTACATGAGGAGATATAGCTAATTTCTTAGAGGTATCTCAACTAGCGCAGTGGCGCTCGGTAATATATATTGTATCACTACAGATCGATCAGTACATTAGGACAGCACTATAAGGGTTACCATCTTCAAGTTACCAGTACTTTCAAGTTTGTCCAATAACATGTGAATTTCTCTATACCATTCGATTCCTTAGAACATCTAGATTCAGAAAAACATATACGCCGTCAGACGATTTTGCTTATTGTTAGATGAGGAGATATAGCTAATTTCTTAATGGTACCTTAACTAGCGTAGTGGCCCTTGTTCATGTACATCGTTTCACTATAAATCGATCTATACATTACCATAACACTACAATGGTTGCCATCTCCAACTTAATTCTATCCTCTTTCAAGTTTTTCCTCTTCCTTGCCTCACATATCTATCCGAATCACCCCTCTGTCCCTTACTTCATGAAACTGAACTGCTAAATTCCTTACACTGCTTGGGATCAACCGAGAACTTATATTGAATTGATCAGGTGTCTCAAATGAAAATGACATTCTGTAAATGAAAAATGAATGAATGCTACTAACAGATGCAAAAACGCATGAATATGACGAGAAAGCAGCATGGAGTGACGGGAACGATAACCACGCATAGCGCAGATCATCAGCGTTACGATAGTTGCATGCCAACGCGGGTGACGGTGACGGAGAATGCTCGAGGGGTGCCGTGCACATACTGTGATAATATCAATCTTATCATTATTGCCATCATTATCAGTATCAATCTTATCATTACTATTATTATTCTTCATCGTACAGCATCGATCATTTGTCAATGTGATGATCATTTATATAAACTATCTCGATACTCACCAGTCATAACTGAATCCTTCGAAAAATTTTCCCATTCTCAAATCGCCATCAGTTCATGATAATTTTGTAAAATCAAGAAGATTCTTTAGCATTGTCTCCTCTGTTCATTATGACTGCATGCGCAGTAACTTATTTATGCTGTTATTAATACATTACTTTTGATGACACCTGAAGGAAGATTCACCTCATATTAACGTTGCATAATGACAGAAAGTAAGGTCTTTGATAACCAGTCATCAGCTTGATGGTATGCACAAATATCTGCGTTATCAGCGCTCCAAACATGAAAATGCCTGCAACATGCTCATTTTTATACCTTTTCTAGATTGACCTTCAAGGTGAACAAGAAAGGTTTAGCTTTATGTGGTATCTCTAGAGCATTCTCCATTTGTCCCAACGCTCGGGTGCTCCATTGCCCATTTCGATGGTCTGGCAGGCCGTCATTACTGCCCCCCATCCCTCTTCAGCTATAATAATCGACTATTTCCACGCATATGTCAAAAATAATTTCCCGACCCTCTGCAGTACCCCTGACAACCCAAATTTCCCAAAATGGGTAATTCCCCCTCCCCCCTTACCCCTACGGAGACCCCTGTTCTAGAGAACGATATCTCACTGGTATATCTCATCTGAATATGTTATTTTATCCTGAAAACATATCATATGCAGGGAAAGAATGCTGTCATCAGTGTCTTCAGTGAACACTTCAGAATGTTCGTTCACTCCTATGATTACCACAATTCATAGCAATAATAAAAATGTTGATGATTACTGATGATTGTTGACTTAATATTTTGTTTACTCATACACAAATATTAAATATGAATTTCCTAACGATTGTTTGACTGAATCATGCTGCAATATTCAATCCAAGCCGATGACAACTGAATGTTTGTCAAGATAAACTCCGATCAACAACTAGATCAACTCAAAATCATCACACCCAAAAAAAACGCACCAATAAATCGTATCACGCGACGTGTAAACAAATGGATTTTGCATTCACCACAATTCGCGTAAACTGTTTTGCGAGGTCTCGTCGAGAATAGCCAAAACATTATCTCACCAATTAAAATCTGCAAAATACGAATGCCCATTGATTATTCATATCATCAGTACTCTTGTGCTGTCCTTAATTCGATATTTGTACAACTGTGTTACTTGGATCATTATTACTGCTATTACTATTGTCATTTTGCTCACCGCAGTTATATCGTTGCACAGCAATTTTGGTTTCTAATCACGAAAGCGAATGAATCAGCAAAATTTTGTAAATATTCCTTATGTGTCAAAAACCTGTTTTGAATCCAACACACTAAACTGGCACCGTTTTAAGGTTAAAAGCGAAAGTGAAATCTATTTTAAATGTGATGAATAGATGAAACATTTCTATGATTATTGTTAGCAAAATACAATAATAATAGCAATTTGATTTAGTGAATTTATTTGCTTTGTAAATTCACATTATTTGTTCAGTTCTATTGAACAGCATACTTGGTCTGTTTGTACACAATTGATGATAGATGCACGCGTAGATTGCACATGGTGCATGGGCGCTTTAATTCCGATGTTTTTTGCGGGGATTTCGTGAAAACACGAATCCAATTCGAATTCGCATCTGTGAATTGATCTGATAGGTACGAACATAGACTAATTTGTCCAGGATGGTTCTCCATATTCAACTCATCCAATCTTGATGGATCAATATAAATAAGCGTGGACTGAACGTACCACAACAACTGGTAACAAAAATCCGAGTACATAGAGGAGAGCGTATGAGACGTACACTTGAAAGTCTTCGGGTCGAAAGTTCGGCAGATAAAGGTAGATATCACGGCAGTAGAAAACGCGATGATGATATGGGAAAACTGATGTAAAACTGAAAAAAAAAACTATTCAAAATCAGTAAGAATTTTGAAGGAAAGTGCACTGACAATGAGTTCGTTTGCAAAAATTTTAGTTTTTGAAGTCCTGCAGAACTTCTTCAACTCAATCAACCAAAAATATGAATAATACTGTTGGAATTGTAGTAAAAATAGGCAAAAGGGGAGTGAGATTAACTGAGATTATTCTCCACAAGAGAACATTTCCACACAAAAAATGAATCGGTTTATACCTCAAATAATACCAAAGTGCCCATAGACATGCGAGGCCAACAATAGAAAGAATGAAAGTCGGTAGAATGAAATGGTTAATTCGTCGACTTGGACGAATCGGCTGCGATGCAGCGCCATACTGTGATGCCGAGAACACTTCCGAATGTGCTCTCGACGGAGGGATTGACATCACCGATTTAATTTTCTTTCAGCAGATGAATTCTCGAAACAACTTACGATTGATTGTCAGATAAATTATATATCTGACAATCGCAATCTCAACTGCAGCAAAATTATTGAATACAGCCAATTGCAGGTGTCAAAATAGAAGTAACAATAATATCAGTCAGTACCAATTACTATTGTTACTATTGATCATCCGAGAGTACAGTGAATATTACTGATGAATAATGAATAAGAGAAATGTCAACGGATTGAGAGGGTTGACAGACAGATATCTGACTTTAACGTTATATATGAGGTTTTGTCTCTTCTCCAGAACCTCTTGGAGTGGATATTGCTTGCTCTTCTCTTCGTTCCACTCTTTCTGAAAGATTTTTTAACGTTTACTTGCTAGAGGATATCGCGCATGAATTGACTCAAAATCGCTCAGTTCTCACTGCGATTTACACATCATGCACAATGAGGAATATACGATGAGACGCGAAACATTAATGACGGAATACAATTTATATATTCACAACATTTGCACACTTATTAATCCGATCCTGCTTCAGTTCTGAGCATCTTGATTTTAATTCATAATACAAGCAACAGCATTTTCGACAACAACCGGTCTCACTATTGTCAATAGTATAATTGAAGTATGGTGCATAGCCGATGTTCGTTCACCTGTAATCAAAAGCACTGCTGCCACTGCTATTCCTGCTATATTCAGTGGCTGCTTATAGCCAGTCACCTATATGTTTGCTTACCAATCTGCCTGATCTTCACTTCCACTCTGCAGCCTTCACTGCCTCAGATCCTCTAAAATCTGCCCAACTTTTGTCAAACAAACTGAACTGACAAACGAGCCAACTAACAAACAGTAAACTGAAAAACTTAAAGTATCGCGGCCAGCCTCCAATTGAATCGAATGGAATCGACTCAGCAGCTCAAATCGAGTCAACTTCACTCAATGAACAACGAATCAAACGAATAAAATCTCGTCACTGCAGTGTCCCCTTGCTCAATCTCGACTCTAAAGTAAACACTGAATCTAACGCAAATGTTGTCTTGGATAAGTACGATTGCATTTATTTACTCAGATATGTATAGTAAGCAATAAGTAATATATTACAAATATATTGAATAACTATTCAGTGCGATAATTAAAAGGTAATAGATGAGAGGCAATGATTTCCTTTGAGCATTCAGAAGAACTTTTAGATTACTTAATTGTAAGAAATTTTATAAGAGGGCGGAAAATAAGAAAAAGTAATGTTGGAACGTCGAAACAACTGGACTTCATTCAACCAACTGGTTTACTCTATCGATCAATCAGTGATTCTGGTTGGTTTGTTTGATTTTATGAATTGTTTCTTGACTGAACAAGGATTAAATGAGAGACCTCACCTACCTCGCACTGCTGCTGAATCACACTTTAGTAGTCAGACTTTAACAATCTTCATAGGTAATTGACTGCACACTTTTAGGCTGATAATTGTACACAGTTACTTTTTCCTTCCTAGTTCTATATTACTTATTGTGTTGTTGATTCAAATTCTCATCGATAAGTACTCATTTCGAATTCGTGAAGCATTACTCATAAACCCACAATATAACTTTAAATATAACAGAAGTAATAGCAAAAAACAACGAATGTAAGCCGTACTCGTGTTTGTATTGTGCTGCTTGTCAGTACCAACAATAATATATCTATTGCACTGTCTGCGATATCAGATTCTGAACAGATTAAATGAGCGGACTCTACCAGAAATGGATTATTAAGACCGTATGGTGATCGAAAAGACAACCAAAAGGATTCAGAAGATTTGTTACAGGAGATATCAAAAGATAAATGGATAGGAGAATATGATGGAGATCATACCAGATGTCCTCATACCAGAATGAGATCAATTGATCAATTGAGCTGATGAAGGAACGACGTCAAGTTTTATCATGATCCAGATTCATTTCTCGATAAAAATAATAAAGACATTCATTTATTCTCATCGAATTCATCTTCACCCTGGCCATCAGATTTGCTCTCACCAAGCGAATATTAAGAGGGAACTGTGAAAAGATTATGAAAGATTCATTCTTTCATGCATTATTCGTCATTTTCTAATTACTTCCGCTTATTTGACTATCTGCTTCATCAACAACCTAATCAACCAGACAATCATTCTAGCATGAAATATGCTTTATCTGTCATAATGCAGATCCACCAGTTCCAAAACGAACTGATTCTTTTTTGAAATATCTGATAGTCACATATTAACATTGTGTCATACTCGAGTACATTCACAATCATTACTTACTTGATTATCTTTTTTTTCAGATTTGTTCAAAAAACATTCAGTTCGAGTTGATTCATTGTCCGTTTGAAGTTGTCACCGTCTCATTTGCTACTTTTTAACTTCAATGATATTGGTACACCACTCGTTTTCAAGCAAAACTTTCCTTCGCGAACGGGAAGGAGGAAAGTTTTGCTCGAAACCGAGTGCTGTACCAATATTATCAATGTTGTGAGCCTCAACCAGGCTATGATCCGGCTTGTATCTGTTATCTAATTATCTGTTATTATTCGTTACTTTTAATTTCATTTATTCACATAAACACTTTAAATTGCAAACCATCAACATCATTTCCATACATACAAACATATTTGCATAAACAAATAACAACCAATACGAGAAAACAAATCCACATTTACATATACGTCTGTACAATATTTATGCAAAATGTCAAAGTAAAATTCTACCAAAATTCCCAAAAATTTTACAATTAAATACGGCACATATACACAATAGGCAGTAATCGAACACAACAAAATCCACGAAAGTCACCTATAAAGCGCTATTCCAGCGTACGGCGACGTTATCGACTTCAAACTTTCATCTGAAAAAATGAATAATTTTAGCGGCAATATCATGGATTCACTGAAGAGAATTATACCGGTTAAATCACGATCAAATTATCAAATTATATTCTATCAATCATATGAAAACGATCAATAAATCGAATCATTTGAATGAATTCACCATAAAAATGCATACACACAAACATTTATATGAGCGAGCTATCTTATTTATCATAATTATCGCCACCATTATCATAATTCATACCCGAAAGAAATGCTTCATTAGAGATGACTCGATCTTCGATATTCGTCGTTTGTTTAGTAGAAAACGGATACCACGCATTCGGCTGATGTGCTTTTTTCCAGTTCATTGCTATGAATGGTCTCCATGAACAGGACCTTACTTCTCCTTTATGAATAAACAACATCATCAGTCAGCCGTTCTCGTTTCAGAAATATATATTATCATTTTAATTGTGAATATGCGCTTACTGAACTACTCAACAACCAAGAAATAAAAGTCATCTAGCGAAGTGAAAAAAAATATAGGCTAATACGGTCTACGTGATTGTAATGTAGGAGTTTGGTACAATTGCTAACATTCCCCTTACGGATTTCCAATAGATACAATTTGAATTGTGGTAAGTAAAAAGAATTACCACCTTCCTCTTACAAATAAAAATTGCGAAACATGTTACCATTATAAGGATTCCATTTGATATCAGCAATGACCATAAAAGGCTGATTTGTACCAGACGCTCCGGGTCCTTTCGCCTCAATAATCGACGTTAACATCACAAAAACTGTTTCTTCGATAACATTTATAACATCAACCTGCAAGTAACATGTAGATGTTGAATAACATTAATGAGACTTACTCGATGCTCTTGAAACGTCAAATGTTCACTGAAAAGAGGAATCGTTTCTGAACGCTTTCAAATTCACCACAGAATAACTTCGTTAGGCACAATGATAGAAGTTGATTTGAAATGTAACCAAAATTGGGCCTAGCCATAAAACCATAAAATTTCACCTCATAGTCGACGATACCAACATAGCAGTAACCAGGCAGACGACATTTCACAGCAATTGGCGTAATACGCATGATAAGTTTCTCAATATCAAGGATTACTTCAGTCATGATCAGTTTCTCTTTCATGCCATGATTCTGGATTGTAGACTCTGAAATTATGTCATGATTGTTATTATTATTGTCATTTTTTCCAGAATCTGTGTCCTCTTGAATTGTTGTATGTCAATAGGTAAACTGAAGATTAAGCAATGATGATACGTTGATCAGATAATTGCAGCAATCGATATTGTTTCGCACATCGAGGGCTACTGCTTGGATACGCATCAGCTATGTGTATTTCTTGAAGCACCACGCCTGACCATTCGTTATGATCACCCACATTATCTTCTCCTTCCAAAATTTGAAAACTCTGAAATAATCCACTGAAAATTATTGTTTCACTGAACGAGTTGGATTAGAGACCAGGAAATATACACTTGAAATATGACGACTGATGAAAACTGATATTCACTGATAGCAAACAGGTCATGGTACCATACACAGGTTATGATTTCTTATTCTAATGGCTCACTGAATGCAGCAAATCAAAAATTATTAGGAATATTATTCACTTTTCTCAGTGCTCGTTGTGTGGTTGTTGTTATAGGCGTTGTTGTTGTCTGAGTTTGATTATGTGAATAATAATTTGTGAATAAAATACAGACAAGCGTTGTACCCGCATTCAGTATGGCGCCTTTATCAAAACAACGTAACAATGTTCTGAAATTCAGCTAGAATCTAAGTATCCGAATCCATCGATCAAAACACATTGACACATACGAATAAATATGTAACTTGTAAGAATATTTCCGTTTCAGATTGTTAATGCTCATATAAGTGGAAATAACATTTATTTTATCCTCATTTTGATACACTCTTACTTTTAATAACGCCCAGACAATTCGTTTCACTCAAAAAAATTATGACCTGCACAATCGTTTCTTCCATCTGGACGACAGCACTATGGATGTGCTCATTGACAGATGAATGGAAAATTTGAACAGTATGAAGTCAATACCAATTAAAGTTGTCATTGGATCACTTCCGGACAGTCCATGCCGTGCGATTTCTTCCCTTTAATTTAGCGTTATCACTCATACGAGTGTATCAATCCCGTTAAGACATTCCGAAATCATCCAGAATTAATCGCAGGAAGGAATGTGGAACTTACGTAAAACTTAGAACGGCGATAAACGATGAATCTTGCGGGAATGTCGCAAAAACTTCGTGCATTCGTTTCGAGTGAAGATCACCAACAAATGCCTTTAAAATACAGTGAGCCAACACTCTAGATAAACAGTCATAATGTAATATCATCCAGACCGAGTGTTTCGATCAATCTGAGTTCATGCTCACAGTAGGCTGATCTGATATCAAATGCTGGCTACGATAGCAAACTTGTAGACAATTAGGAAAGAGTGCTACAAACCGGAATAAGTTGAGTGGGCGACAGTTGCATCACTATTAAAACCATCTCCACATCGGCTCCTAAGAAAACCATTTGAGATTTTTTAAGGAAGTTCCAAATATGGATCAATTTTTTTCAAGAAGAGAACAGCCATCAGAAAAGTCCTCAGTTGTAAATATTGAAAGGAGATCGGTCTTCGCAGAAATTTCAAATGAATTCACCAACCAATATATCGATCTGATGAAGAGCTGTATAAGATACCAATCACATAGCTCGAATCGTTGGACATCCCCAGAAAAACTGCACTATAATCGATTTAAAATTCAAGCTCATAGAATGGAAGAGTTCAGAAGAACATTCATTTCATCAAATGGTAATAAGTCGTTAAACTTTAATCGACATATTTTAATCAAAACCTCCCGCCACTTCCCTTCCTCGTAATACAGAGAATCATACCAAAATAATGGCTCAACTAAACTTACTCCCTCAACAAGTCATAACAGTGTTCGTTGATTTCGAGAGTATGCGGCATTTTCATAAGGCACAATCGATTCCAAGCACGTACACTCCTCATTGTTGTCGACTGTCCCCGAATCTAGAGATTGATTAATCTGGCAATAAATGATGTATTGTAATAGGTCAGTTGCAATGGCTCAGATTTTACCACTAAACTGGATGTAACACAGCCTTCTAAAAGACTGTTATCCTTCCAGCTGCCTGACTGTATGCAGTGAATGATGATGCAAATGATTGACACGAAAAAAATTTATTTCCATCGGAAAAGCATGTATTCGCGATGAACTGTAATTGCTGCTGAAGCTAAGTCCATGTCCAGAAATTTGCTTGAAATTCAGCAGTATTAAAAGCGCAATTCAATGGTTTTTAAATGGTGGCTCTTTAATTCATAAATACCAATTTTTTAAGAAAGTCTTAAACGTTTACTTCTCTTTGATGTAGCAGTCGTGGGATTGAGACCATCTGTTTCTTTGCTTTGACACGACCAGGTATCACTAATTTCTGCCCGTTTGATGGACCTTCTTCGGATGAACCAACGACGGAACGCATTGTGGTACCTGATTTTTCTTCTCTTTTCAGAACTAATTCCAACCTTCATAACGCTTCCGCTACTCACTAGACGATGAGTTTTGATTCATGAAAGACTTAAAATACTGAGAAGAAACACAAGTAAAAGGAATTTTAAGTTTTGATGGGATAGAACCCTCATTCAAGTTTGAAAAAGCAACACCTTAACTCCCGAAAAATGCAGAAAAATTCTCAAATTTCTACATTCGCGCTGCAGCGAACC